GGGCTTGCTCGTGGTCAAGCCCAGCGAGCAGGGGCTCATGAGGCAGAGCTCGAGGCCGCGCGCCGCTCGGGGTTGGCCATGACGCACGCGTCGCGCTGCACTTCCGCGCTGTCGCATGGCCAGACGCCGCGCATGGGCGTCGCCGTCGACTGCGCGGGGGGCGAGGGCGCCGGTCGCGCGGGCATGTCGGGCGAGCAGTGGTGGCTGCGCCTCGACGTCGCGTTCCCCCGCGCCACGCGCGTGCGGAACGCGCTGATCCTGCGGCCGCCGCCGCGAGAGCTCCCGGGGCGAAGGCCGCGGACACCCCTGCGGAAGGCGCTCTTGGAGTCCGGCGCCAAAGAGGAAAGCTCCAGGGCAATGGCGGAGAAGCTCGCGGCAGAGTTGGGTTCCGTGCTGCCCCCCGCCTGAACCCGGCGGCGCCCCGCTCGGAGCCCGCGGGGCTGCCCGGGCGGCTTGGATTCGCGCGCCAGCGGCTCGCGGCGCTGCCCGGAAGCCCGACGGCTTGGCCCGCGGGACCGCCCCCGACGGCTGCACGATTTCGCCCTCGGAGAACGCGCCCCTGCAAGGCGCGGCGGCGATGGCGCCGAGGAAAGCTGCGCGCGCCCCTGCCAGGGGATGGAGTTGGAGTTTGTTTTGCAAACGACGCTCCCGCTCGAGCGTTTGAGGCCCATCTACGACAGCTTCGTTTCCCGCTCGATACGTCTTCACAACTTACCCCGGGAATTCAGGAACGGCGCTCTCGCTCGAGACTTCCTTGCAATTCAATAATTTGGCGGAGGCCCAGCCACGACGACAAGGGCTCCTGTTCGATAGTCCCTCACGATTTACTCCGAGAGCCCCTGGCCAAGAAGGCCCTTGACCCCGTTCGATATCTCCCCATAGGTATTCAGAGCTCCTGGCCAGAGGGGCCCCCGAACTCAGGAACGGCGCTCTTGCTCGAGACTTTTTCGCACTTCGGTCAGTGGCCGACAAGGGAGATATTCCCCCCGGGAGGGTGCGCAATCGAAGACGAAGTGGGCGGGTATCGAGGGTTGGGGTGTACGGACTGCACGGCACGCGTGCCTGGAAAAGCAAACAGTCTTAAACTGATTGTCGTAATTGTTGTTGTCGTTGTTGTTGTTGCTGTTGTTGTTATTGTTGTTGTATGTCGAGCTGTTGGTGGCGTTGGTGTTATTGCTCGTGTTGGCCTTTCACTTTTTGCTTTAAAAAAATTGGCGGATCCCCCACCACCGGTGCACAGGTGTGCTTTTCAGTCGAAGTGCCCCCCCTCGGGGCTCCCATTTTGCTGTTCGTAGTTCTCACGGGAGGTCTGCCCGCTCAAATTGTTCCCGTGGCCTCGGGCTACAACAACAACGGTTCCCGCGTGATACGTCTTGACACGTGATTCCCAAATTGTATTCTCGCGCAGGACTTCCTCACACTGTATGCATGAATCGCGCTCTCGCGTGGGATGTCGTCGCATCTTCTTCAGACGCCGAGCCTTCGACATTCAGGAATCACGCTATCGCTTCGTCCCTCCTCGCGATATACTCGGTAAGCGCGGTATCGCTCGAGACTTCCTCGCGATTCATGCAGGGCGCACGCTTCAGCAACCCGCCTGCTCAACCTGGCCGCCTGGGCCCGCCTTCCCGACCCGTCCGTTAGTGTCTACCCTCCCGATTTGCTTGTCTGGTTATACCATGTCTGTTCTGGTCCTACCCCCCTCTGCTAATTTCTCTCGTGTTCCATCCTTCCCCCTCCCCTTTCATCCTTCCCGTCTCTCCCTTTTAGAGGCTGCACTAAATGCACGTTTCAGGTGAGGAATATATACCCTCAAGGGAATACGACCGACGAGGAATAGGGCGGGTAACCAGGGTTTGGGATATACGTTTTGAGTGGCACGCGAGCAGTTTGGAGCGAACATGTTTGAAATGATTACTGATTTTGCAGTTCTACAGAACAATTACTGTTGATCCCCCATTCCGGTAACCATTGTTTTTTCAATTCGGGTGTTTCTCCCAGGGCTCGCCGCCCGACTTTTTCAAGGGAAAACAAGTGGTCACCAAACTTGGTCAATGGCCCCCGGTTTATAACAACAACGTACAAACAAGTTCCCAAGTTGCGCTCTCGCGCGGGACGTCCTCACAAACTAAGCAGGAACCCCGTTCTCGCGTGGAAAATCTTCGCCTTTTTTTCAGACGATGCACCTTCGACACTCAGGAATCACGCTCTCGCTGTGGGTTTCCTGACTATTGGGGAATCATACAGGACGCACGCTTCAGCAACGACCTTGCCGTCAGGGCCCGCCTTCCCGACTCGCCCGCCAGGGTCTGCCCGCCCGGTTTGCCCGTCTGTATCTGCCACTTGTTTCCTGCTATCAGCCCCCTTCCTGCTAATTTCTCTCGTGCTCCATCCTTCCCCTTTCTCCCTTCTATCCGCCTTGTCTTCCGCTGTTTTAGGGGCTGCACTAAATACACGTGGCAGTTGAGGACGATATGCCCCTGAAGACGGACAGGGCGGG